TATTTTATTTTTTTGGAAAGCAGGATTTATTGAGAGGCAGAAAAGCTCCCAGAGCGGAAGGGGACCCCAGGGGATTGTGAATCATTTTCCTTGAAGTGCTTCTTCAGCAAAAATGTGGGGATTTTCTGTCTTTGTTGCTTGTTTTCTTGCAAAAATGTTTCAGCCAAGAGAAGAATCTTAGCACACCCAAAGGCTTTTGGCTGTTTTTCACTTAGCAAAATTCTTTCTGGTCTTATGATATGTGTCTTCTTGTCAGCTAAAATTTACAGAAATAGTGAACCACAAGGGTTTCCTGAGGAGGAGGAGGGTTCTTATATTTCTCTTGGCAACAAGAACATTCTCCAATACTCCTAAATTATAGTTTGGGTCCAATGCTAATGATTTCTTTCCCAAAAACAACTCAAATATTTGTGGTTCCATTTTGCTTGAATCAAGGAAAAGCATACAAGAGACCACTACTTAGTTGTACTGACCCTGGCTTACCCTCCACACACAAAAGTCCCTTGCTAAAGCAGTCAGCAACCTGTAATAATACGTGTGCAAAGTAGATGTTTCTCTAGGCTTGTCAGCTTAAAAGCCTCTGTACCAAACCTCTAAGTGTAGTGGTTAGAGCAGTTGCAATAGGAAACTTTACCTCATGTCAGACAAACAATAAAAATAAATCATATGGGGTGATCAGGTTTTAATGCTAAGGCATTGTTTGCCTTTTTCACTCTCATGAGTGAACAGAGTACAAAAAGCTCATCAGTGTGGGTGTGTATTCTACATTAAAATAAATCTTTTCAAAATCACTTGTTGAATTTTGGTGTGGCTGGTCTTTGATACTGCAGTTTTCAGAGAAGACTATTACAAATCTTCTCACTTTCCAACTTTTTTAATGACTTTTTTGTATACTTTACTCAAAACAGTTCATTGCAACACATTAAATACAGAAACAGGATTCACGAATCTAGCAATATTCTATTAAACCAGACAAGAGATTTGCAAAAAGTATAAAACAGTACGTTCTTTTTTTTTTTTTTACATTGGTAACTTTTTCCTTAAAAATATGTTGTTTACATTAACATTGTAATGGGTTCATTGCTATTTTTAAGTAAAATAATGAATGTTTAAACCTTTTTTGTTTTGATGTTCATTATAAATCGTGTTAGACATCCATAGTTTTTAAGATTGTAAGGAGTCCTGAGACCAGAAAACATGACAACTACTGGTCAGGATGTGGTTTTCTGAGATCTATTAAATAATGCACAGGTTATTTGGCAGTTTCAGAGAAGCGATAGCAGTTTGTTTTGTTTTTTGAGTTGGAATCTCACTCTGTCACCCAGACTGGATTGCAGTGGCCGCTCCCGGCCACCGCAGCCTCGACCTGCTGCAGCCTCGACCTGCTGGGCTCCGGCGATCCTTCTGCCTCAGCCTTCTAAGTAGCGGGAACTACAGGCGCGCACTACCACGCCCGCTAACTTTTTTGATTTGTTGGAGAGATGAGATCTTGCCAAGTTGCCCAGGTGGGTCTCGAACTCATGGGCTCAAGCATCAAGCAATCACTCACCTCAGCCTCCCAAGGCACGGGACTACAGGCTGAGCTACCGAGCCCAGCTCCATATCAGTTTTATCTGCAAACATTTTTAAGATTTAATGTAAATATAATTAATAGAGTTTTAGTGTTCATAGAGTATCCAGGTTTATATGTGTTAGAAAGTGATACGATTTGCACTAATAGCCAAAAGCAGAAAAATACAACTATGAAATACAATGGCAGATGACTGGAAACTACTACTTATTGGACCCGCAGTACATTCATTACATAAAGCCAAGAAACAGCACAGTAATCACCTTGGCAAGCCATATTTTCCCAGAATTGTACAGCAGTGCTTTCTGGAGTGAAAGGGATAAAATCATTTACTGAAGATGGGGAAGAAGCAACACTGCTGAGGCCTAGCTTATAGTGGCCGTGCACATGTCAGCACGTCACACCTCTAGCAGGAAGCTTGTGAAGCCACCGAAAGGTGAGTGAGAGATTCTGTCTGTTGGAATGGGTGGTATCACGCGTTGGGCATTATCGGTGGTCTGGTGGGGAATGAGTGCAGCCGCCTTTGTGAAATGTGAATAGCAAGGGTTCCAGATTGCGGAGCCAACCCGAGTCCGGATGCCCTTAGCTTATGCTCAGCATATTTAGAGAACAAAGTGTTCATTGTTCCTCTTCTGTTTTTCTTTTTTTAGAAAAAAATCTATGCTACAGATAACCTACTTTGTTATTTTGTGAGCTGTGGTAACAACTGGAAAAGGAAGGGGCACTGAAGTCAGTGCTGAGGGAACTTCCGTCTGCCATGTGTGCAGTAAAAAAAAAAAAAAGGCATTACAATCTGGATAAAAAGAAGTTTGCCTCCACCCTACCCTCTAAGCCTCTTCCCGGAGAACCATTAGCAGTCAAGAGTGTGTCCTGATCTCTCCGGAGTCTTTAATTAAAACCGGAAGGCAGTCACAAACGCCTGTAGTCCCGGCTACTTCCCGTAACTCAAGAGGCCTATGCAGGAGGATCACTTGTGCCCAGGAGTTTGAGGCCAGGCCAACCTGGGCAATACAGAGGCTCCATCTCAACCAAAAAAGAACAAGAGGCAACAAGTAAGGATATTAGGCCAGATTTGCCCCCTCCCTTCCTCTGGTGTTTGTACAACTGGTGAGCAAAGCACACTCATGTTTTAAATGGCTGGGGAAAATACCAAGAGAGTGATACTTTGTGACACATGAAAATTATAGGAAGTTCAAATGTCAGCTATTTTCTCACTGCAGCAGCAGACTTGAGCTGTGACAGAGGCCACAGGGCCTGCAGAGCCAAAAAATATTATCTAGCCTTTTACAGAAGAAGTGTGCTGACCCAGAGTTACACCACTTTGAGCGATCTTGCTTATTGTTCTTCCCCGGGGAGGTTCATATGAAGAAAGGGTTCTGCTGCCTTAAAAACACGGTGTTTTTAAGTATGTAATTTTCCAGAAGGTCAGCCCAAACAAATGAACTGTTCAGATGACCTTGTTCTTTTGCCACCCTGGGGACAGAGCAGGATGGGGCTCACCGTTCAACCTGGAAATACAGCTCGAGTGGTCCAAGGCAATATTTGAACATGTCTTGTGGGCGATATAAGACATGTGTGTGCCACTAGGGGTTTTAAAACCTGATAACAAACGTATTCGGGATAACAAACATATTCCTCCTTATGCTATACTTCTTAAAAATATTTTTATTAAAAGAGATTAGCTATAGCTTAAAAGGAAAGTATTTGGCTCGCCTTCTGTTCTTTCAAGTTGGTTGATGCCCAGCAAATCCCCTCTCTTCTCCATCTTTCCACAGGCAAGGATATGCTCCCTAAGGGTCTTGTTCAAATTTCGCTGTCTCTCCTGTGTCCATGGCACCCAATACATTCCTGCCATTTGTTGACTTGCTTGGTGTCTTTGTACTAAACCATCACTAAGTTTTTTTGGTGTCTTCCTCACTGGACACAGGAGGGGCTGTTTCTGCTATAGCTAGCATGGTCCATTTCAGAGTCACACTTACCAGTCCGTCCTGCTCCTGCTTCTTCTAGTGGCGTGAATCTGTGTCCTCATCTGGGAAACGGGAATCACAGTGATGATGACTTACTAATACCTTTCAGAGTTTGTTGTGAACCTTAACTAAGATGATCCCAGTAAAATACTTCTGCCACATACTCCTTTGTTAGCCGTGTCGCTTGTTTATTGTTGTTATGTCTTTAACACTAACAGCCTTTTTAAAGATTAATTTTTTGGTTGAGTGGAGTCAAGGCTTGTTTTTAAACATATCCTCAACGTTGTGCTTCAGAGAAGATTGAAGGTTAGTCAAAGCTTGGTCTGTGCCCAGAAAGGGTTGTCTGGTAGATTAGCATCTGAGGGTGATGATGCTGTTTCTGTTTGGCGTGGTTGGGGTCATTCTTTCTGTTCTTTGAGTCTGTTCCAAAACCTGTGCTCTTCCCTCATCGCTTATATATAGTAGTTGAAAGGATACACTGAATGCTTGCTGTGTACGGGGACTGTTCTGAATTCCTTATATTAATGTAGTTATCAGAAGAGCCATATGAACTAAGTGCCCTCACTCCTGCTTTTAGAGTGGCACAGAACTGTGGGTTGCCACAGGCTGCTTAGCTGCTAAGAGGCAGGCTTGGGAGTGGAATCTAGGGTTTGCCACCAGAGTTTGTGGGGTTGTTTGTTTGTTTGTTTTGTAGAAACAAGGTCTTGTTATGTTGCCCAGGCTGGTCTCCAACTCTTGGCCTCAAGTGATCCTCCCGCCTCAGCTTCCCAAAGCACTGGGACTACAGGCGTGAGCCATGGCACCTGGGACTGGGGCGATTGGTGGTTTTTTTGTTTTTGTTTTTGTTTTTTGATTGGTGTTCGTAACCTCTGTGTTTAATGCTTTTATTAGCCATGCTCTCTTTTGCCATATGCTTGTATGTGAGATACAGCTTATCTAAGGTAATTTTCTTGAAGAGTTTGAGTTGGTTCACATTACAAGCATGTGGTAGATAATACATATTTGTGCTTGAATTAATTAATGAATATGGTGATATGATAGAATTGTAATTAATAGAATATAGTCATTGTCTAATTCTTCTTGGCTTTGAGTAGTAACTATTTTTCATTGCAGGTCTTCTTGGGAGCTATCTATAGCCAGCGTTGCCTATTTTGAAGCAGTCTGCTCTAAGACTACAAAAATTGGGGCAAAAAAATTGCTTAGGAATCTATTTATATTCCTAAATTCATTTTTCCTTGCTGGTGCTCAGAAAAAAAAAAATCTGTGTGTCTTATTTAGAGTTTTTCCTTTTTTGGATCCCTCTGTTGAGTTGCTGATTTATTTGTGATAAAGTGGTGTTGTATTGCAGAAGAACCCTACATAATTTGGACAAACTGGTCATAATAGTGAAGTTTGGTATTGGATTTGGTCTCTGCAGCTTTTGAAACAGTAATGATCTTGACATTTGCTTTATTTCATATGTCTTTCAGAATTCTCCACTTTACCAGTACTTGCAGGATCTGGGGCACACCGACTTTGAAATATGTTCTTCTTTGTCACCGAAAACAGAAACATGCACGACAGAGGGAAAGCAGAAACCTCCGAGAGTCCTGCCAAAAGTAAGGAGCTCGTTCCTTAGGGCGTGGTCCTCTGCTCTTCACCTTATGTCATGCAGACACCTAGGCACCCCCTGCGCACACTGGGAGGCTTCAGGTGTTGAATCTGCAGGACAGAGCTCTCTGCTTAGATGCACTTGAATCTTGACTCTTTCACAATATTTTGTTGGTAGTTTACCTCAGGTAAGCAAATCCATATGGTTGAGAATGAAAACATTTTTTTTTAATACTGAGGTTATCTGAATGGAACCCAACTAATAGGAATGCCCTATTAATTTTGTCATAAATGACCAAAAAACACACCACACCTATGAAACCCAAGTTTGTACTAAAACAAAACAAAAAATTAGAAGTCGACGCCCACCTCCTGCTGGGCATTTTTCTTTAAACCCTTTTTTTAAAAAATCACAAATCATAAGAAACCAAACTGATATTTCTTCAGCACAGTTTAAAGGATATATCTGGAGTGAGTATATTTTCCTCAATTTCTGATATCTTCTTTATCTACAGAAATATATGCTTTTATGCAGTAAATATCTTTTTTATTTTATTTTTTTGAGTTGGAGTCTCACTCTGTCGCCCAGACTGGAGTGCAGTGGCCGCTCCCGGCCACCACAGCCTCTACCTGCTGGGCTTCAGGGATCCTTCCGCCTCAACCTTCCAAGTAGCCGGAATTACAGGCATGCGCTACCATGCCTGGCTGATTTTTGATTTATTGTAGAGATGAGGTCTCGCCAAGTTGCCCAGGCGGGTCTCAAACCTGCGGGCTTAGGTAATCCACTCACCTCAGCCTCCCAAGGCGCGGGATTACAGGCTGAGCCATCGAGCCCGGCTCCATCCCAGTTTTAACCACAGGAACTCTGGTGGAGTAGAAGACGAATAGCCTGTTTTCCCCATACGTTAGCATGCCAGTTGACTCAGTGTTTTATTGCAAGACTCGGTTGCTGTTTGGGCAGGCATCTAACACTTTCATTGTGAAAGGGCAAGAAACATGGACTGGCAGAGGGGTCCCTTCTCCTAGTCTCCTAGTCTTCTTGGGAAGCACAGACGGTGTGAGGTACCTGAGCTGGATGGAGCTGATGAGTGAGCACTCACCGGAAGCAGGCCCAGCCTCACGAGCCCTCCCTGCTCACCAGTTTTCCCCTGCCCTTTCCAGTGTGAGTGTCCCTGGGAAGGGTTATGGAAGCAAACCTGGACAGATGCAGTAGGCTACTACCAGTTAGGACTTGGACTTCAGCTGCTGGTTCACTGGCACGCGACAGAGGTCTTGGCCAGGAGGTGGGCATTGACCTTGATTTTTTTGTTTTAGTACAAACTTGGGTTTCATAGATGTGGTGGGTTTTTTTGTCATTTATGACAAGTATTTTTATGTACAGAAATGTTTTTGCAACCGGGTTCGGTGGCTCAGCCTGTAATCCCGCGCCTTTGGGAGGCTGAGGTGAGTGGA